ATCTCTGATATTTGTTTAATCTATTTACTAGTTCGATTGCATCTCTTCTTATGGTGGGCCAATAATAGCTTTGCGTAAACACTTTGTAGGCCAATGGTCTAGGTTCGAGGTGATTTTCACATATTCCTTCATGAATTTCTCGTAGGATGTAGTTTATTTTTTTTTCATCGACACATCTTAAGTAAGGTAGGCTGAAAAATTTTTTGTATAATTTTTTTTAATCATTGTGTATTGATGGGCCTTTCTTATCAATGCCTTAGCTTGAATTCTTTCCTTAGGTAGTGCTCTTGTGGTCAAGTACACTTTGATTGGCATTATCCAGGTTTTTTTTCTTAGTGATCTGTCCTATAAACTTATCCTTAGTACTTTTATATGTCAACTCTTCTACTAGAATTTGGTTTGGACTTTTCATTATTATTATTATTAAAGCCAATTTCAACAAAAAGTTTACTAGTGAATTCTCTGACCTCAGTATCTTTTTCACCTCAGTTTTTTTGAAGCTAGCCACCAAGCCCAATGCTTTGTTGAGGTATTTTTTAATCTTATTTTTTTGAGCTCCGAACTCTTTATTTATTTAACCGACCACTAGTTGGGAGTCGTTATACGTGATTATACTTTAAATGTTTAGTTTGATTGTCAACTTTAAACCAGCTATCAATCCCTCATATTTCGTCTTATTGTTGGATGTCTTGAACATAAATCTCAAGGCATATGGGTATTGTAACTCTTTTGGGCTTATCAGAATAAGACTAACTCTTTCGCTATGGCTCATGGTTGATCCATCAACATAGAGTTTTTAATCATCTTTATTCAAAATTTTTTCATTTTTTCTTGGATTATCTTTTAGGGTGTACTACGGTCAGTTTTATGAAAAAGTCTGCTAGTACTTGTGATTTTAAAACTAACCTAGGTAATATGTGTAGGTCGAATTTGTTGAGCTTCATCATTTATTTAATTAGCCTTTCTAACATTTTAAGCTTTTGTAAGACCTATTTCAGTGGCTGGTCAATTAGCATGTGAATTGTGTGGGCTTGAAAATACGATTTAAGTTTTCTGATCGAGGTGACAATTAGGGTCGACAATCCAATTCGTCCCCAACGGGTTCTGACCCGACCCGACCTTATGAGGTCAAATTTTTTTTTTTAAATTCGAGTTTCGTGTTGGGTTAGGTTTGGATTTTAGGCAAACCCGACCCGACCCAACCCGATCATATATTATATAAAAAATTATTTTTAATTAATTAATTACTTATTTATTTATATATATATTTATATAATGATATTTTTAAATATTTATATTTAAAAAATAATATTTTATATTTTAAAAAATAATATTTTATTAATTTCGAGTCAGGGTCAGGTTCGGGTATGAAAAAACAAAAAAAAATTTCGGATAAGGTCGGGTTCGGGTTTAATAACACATAAAGTTGGATCGGGTTTAGGGCGAGCAAAACCCGTTTCGAACCCGACCCGATGCCAACCCTAGTGACAATGGTGTACACTTTTTTATGTCGCTGTAGTTAGTGTCTAGCCTTATCAATACCTTGTTTACAAAATAGATCGATCTTTGTTTCCCTTATTTTTCTCAGATTAGGATCGAGTTGACAACTTAGTCTGTGTTGGTTAGGTATAAGTACAAGATTTTACCGAGTCTTGGCTTGGACAAAATAGGTGGAGAGGATAAGAAATTTTTTTGAGTCTTTTAAAATTTTTTTGACACTGAGGAGTCCACCTAAAATCAGAGATGTTTTTGAGGATTTTGAAAAATAACAGACATTGTTCTATCAACCAAGACATTAATTAGCTTAGGATGGTTATTCTACTAGTTAAGCTTTGTATTTTTTTATTGAGATCTGAGCCATCATATTTAGAATTGTTTATTAAAAATAATATTTAATAAATTTAAGTTTAAATTTTAAACTTTATATTTTTTATTTCAAGATTTGATCTTTGTAAAAAACAATTATTAGAGTAGGGTGGTTGGTAATGGTAACTTGAGGGCGCCTTAGTCACCCAAACTTTTGAAACTCCCTTTAACATGTATATATATTTATATTAAATACATCTAAATGGGCCATTGATTAAAAAAAATATTAATTTTATATTTTATAAATTAAATTTATATATTGTTATTTAAGAGACTTTAAATTACATTTATATTTGTTCATTTATTGTAAAAATTATTATTTGTAAATTTTTAAAATTGATAAATTGGTCACAAATTTTAAATCACAATCAAATTAATTTTTCAACTTTATCAACAAGATTTAAGTTTTCAATAAATCACTAACTATATTTTTCCTTTTTTTTTTTTATTTTTTAGTACAAGAAGATTGAAGTTTAGATGATTTAAGAAAAGGGATTGGGAGATTTAACTAACTGCAACTCTTTTTCTTCATATAATTTATTTTTATTTTTACTTTAGACCTCTGTCACATGTTCTTGTAATTCTTTTTTCAACAAAAAGATCACATTTGAGCTATTTTACAAAAGGACAAAAAAATCAAGCACTCTCAAAATTTCATATTTATTCTTTTAAAAGTGTATTTAGTTTTTTTTTTAATTTTGATAAAATTTTTAATGATTGATTTATTCTTACTTTTTTGTTTCACTTTTAAATTATCAAAAAATTAAAAAAATTCTATGTAATTAGTAATTTAGTAGTTAATTGTAAATTATGTTACTGTTAAAAGTATAATTTTGTTATAGTAATATTTTTGTTTTATAATTTATGCTCTTATCATGTTTTTATTAGTATATTATTTGTATATACATATTAATAAGTATGATAAAATGTGTCTTAAGAAAAAAAAATATTATATATTATTAGTTAGTCCTCTCTAAATTATATGTCAAGATCTACCACTATATTAGAAACATATTTTAAGAAAAAATTGTCAAATTATGATAGTGATTTCTATATTTTAATGAAATTTAAAATTTAATCCCTCTATTATAATTTATAGAAATGTAGTTCTCGTATTATATAGATTTGCTAATATTAGTCTAATTACTAATTTTGTCAAAATTTTGCCTTTAAAAATTGTTGACAGGATCATTGACTTAATGATATAGATGTTGATTTTGCTAATATGGCATTGACTTTGTTGATATAGCGTTGACTTTACTAACATGACAAAATGAATAAATAAAATTAATTATCAAATAATGCAAATGATTCTTGTACTCGTATGAAATTTTAAATTTAGATTTTTTAGTGTAATTCAAGATTCATTATCAAACAAGTTGAATTTGATAATCTATAATCAATTACTTTCCATTAATTTAAAATTGATAATGTTGCTCATGTGACCGATAATTTTTTTAGAAAATTATCTCCAAATTTAACATAAATCCTAATTTTTTTAAATTTGAAAAAAAATAAAAAAATCCCAAAATATGATTGTTAGACTTTTTCTATTTTTTTAAAAACATTAAATTTACTTTTTCAAATTTTAATTTTTAAAAATCATATTTGTTAAAATTTTAACCATTGTTTTTAAATTTTTTAAAAAATAAAATTCTGAATTATTTAGAACATTTTTAATTTTATTTTTTTAATATTTTAATTTAAAAAATAATATTTCTTGAATTTTTTAAATCTTATATTTCTTTTTTTTTACAAAAGAATTTCATTTTTAGAAATTTTAAATATTTTATTTAAAAAATAATATTTTTAATTTTTTAAAAAATAAGAATTTCAAAAATTAAAAATTTATAAAATTTCAAAATATTAAATTTAATTTTTTTCAATATTTCAATTTTTCTAAAAATCATTTTTAAACAAAAAATTAGATAATTCTATTAGATAAAAAAGTTTAAATTTGAAAAAATAAGAAAAATTTGAAACAATGACTTTTTCTAAAAAAAATTAAAATATTGAAAAAATTACATTTAGTATTTTCAAAAATATAAAATATTGAAATATTGAAAATTTTTAAAAATAAAATTTGATTTTATAAAAATATTCAAAAAATATGATTTCTTAAAAATTAATTTATTGGAAAAAATTAAATTTTATATTTTAAAAAAATTTGAAAAATTCTAAAAATTGAAAAATATTTTTTAATAAATTGAAATATGATTTTTTGAAAAATAAAAAAATAATATTTTTTAAAAAATGAAAATATTAGAAAAAATAAATTTAATATTTCTTTAAAATCAGGAAAATTTCTAAATAATTTGTAAATTTAAATTTTTTAAAATTAAAACCATATTTTAAACATTTTCAATTAATATTTTATAAAAATTAAAATATTGGAGAAATTGAATTTAAATTTTAAAAAAAATTATAAAAGCCTAAAAATTATATATTTTAACTTTTTTTTATTTTTTGGTTTTTCAAAGTTTTTCTTTCAAAATTTTTTAGGACTTTTAATTTTCACATTTTATTTTTTAAAAGATAGCGACTATATCAACAAAGTTAATATATAAGCATTGATTGCATTAGTAATTAGATTAATATTATCAAATTTAATTTATACGACAAAGAGATTTTTTAAAATTATAATAAAAGGATGACCATTTAAATTTCTTGTGAATACATAAATCATTTACATAATTTGATAACTAATTTCATTAATCTATGTTACCACATCAATAAAATAAATGCTTATTTCATTAAGTCAATAGCTATATTTATACTTTTAATGATAAAATTTTGATAAGATTAATGATTGAATTAAGATTATTAAATCAAAATAATATTAGAATTATATTTCTATAAATGATAATAACTGGACTAAATTTTAAATTTTGTTAGATTATGATAACTTTGATCGAAAAAATCATAAGCTCTTTCTTACGAATATTTGGGCCCTTTGAGTTTCTTATCTTCATACTTTTCATCATTATGGGCTAGTGTTGTTTTTCCGCCCAATTTCCCGGACTCCGGAGTCCAAAAGCACCAGGACAGGAACGACGTCGGCTTATCCATCATAAGCTAATCCCAAATCGAAAGGCGAAACAATCCGCTTGTTGGCCCACACAAAAAAAAAAACGTCGGCCGAGATTTATTAGTCCTATGAGTTCGCCACACACGATTCAACCACCATCCAACTCAACTCAATAACACCCTCGCAGTCTCCGAGTCCCCGTTCTTTATTCCAACAAAAGAGCGACAGTGAAGTAAATAGACGCCTCACAGAAGAGGAGTGATCCAGTGCTCCGCCAGACTCAGACAGAAAACAAAAAACTAAAAATGTTCCTGCGATTGATCTCGCGGCCGTTGATGGCAAAGGTGAAAGAGACGACGGGGATCGTGGGATTAGACGTGGTTCCCAATGCCAGGGAAGTCCTGATCGGTCTTTACAACAAGACCCTTAGGGAGATCCAGGCCGTACCCGAGGACGAGGGTTACCGTAAGGCAGTGGAGAGCTTCACACGCCACCGTCTCAAGGTCTGCCAGGAGGAAGAAGACTGGGAAATGATCGAGAAGCGCCTCGGATGCGGCCAGGTCGAGGAGCTCATCGAGGAAGCGCGTGACGAGCTCACTCTCATCGGGAAGATGATCGGTTCGTACCATTTCATTTCTTTTTTGCCATATATGTTTAATTTTTCAGGTATATGTCGTTTTAGGGTTTTAGAATGCGAAAACTTTAAAGTTGGAGACTTTGAGTCTGAAGAAGCTCAAGCTCATCGATATATCAGCCATAGGGTCAGATATGTTCTTTATCTTAATGATTGGTTCAGTCTTTCTTTGAGCAAATCTGGGTCAATTAAAGCTGGTTATTGTATTGCTCGACCAAGGCTGCCTAGAGGAAATCAGAAAACATTTTAACAACAAGCTTGTCCGAGAATTGCTGGACCATAATTTAATAACGGGGATGGGAATAAATTTTATGGTGAAAGCACTATAGAAATCAACTTGGTACCAGCTGAGGCTACTAAGGTTGGGGGGGGGGGGGGGGGCGGACTCAAAAGGGGTTACCGGGTTAGGGAAGAGGATACATTAACACATACATTAATAAAAAGACCAATATTCGTTTCTATCCATGCAGTGAATTTCATGTTCACCAATCACCTAAATCTATAAACTTTATTTAAATATGAATCCTTACTTCCTTAGTGTTACTCTGATGTCTTCACGCGTTCTTATGATTGCGTTGCTTGTGCTTCTGCATTGCATGTCTAGTGGTTGTTTTGCATCTGATTATCCGCTGCATAGATTTAGTTTCTGGTATCTTATACTACTTCGTAAGATAGAAAGGTGTGTTTTTAGTCACAGTTGTCAAGGATTCTGGTCTACTCCATTTCTGGGTATTTTCTGTTCTTTCGAATATTTTGGTGCCAAACTTTTTCACTAGTTTGGTAGTAGATGACACTTTCATGGTTGTTTGATTTGCTTTGAGCTGTTGTCATGTTTTAGTAAAGCTTCCCTCTGTTGCCAGCTTTGATTAAATGTAAATTGCAAGAAAATTTATGATATTTTGCATTTTCTTAGTAATGATATGCATTCTATATTGTCTTGGATTACAGAGTGGGATCCTTGGGGTGTTCCCGACGACTATGAATGTGAGGTAATGGAAAATGATGCTCCAATTCCCAAGCATGTTCCTCAACACCGACCTGGTCCTCTCCCTGAGGAGTTCTACAAGACGCTAGATGCTGTTTCTAAAAAGGATGAGCCTAAAGTCACCTCTGGGGACCCACAGATAAAGGAGTAGCATGCTGCAGGGCACTTGGCTGGAAGCACTCAGGGTTTCAGAGTCGAGATTGCAATTTTCTTCTCATTCTCTTTTTTTGTTTGTCAATCTTGCATTGTGCCGTTTTCATTGATGGAATAGAGTATTAACCTAAGACGAAGGCTGGAACCATTCAGTTGCTAATAATGTTGATATGCCAGCGGTCATATAAGTTTTTTTGTTCTGTCAGCTGTTTCCTGAATTCCTGACTTATAAATAATATAAATATATATATATATATATATATATATATATAGTGGTAATGGCGTGGTAACCATGATCATTATGTGCAGGTTTAGATGCGAAAGGAAAAGAAAATTTATTGGAAAAGTTTTTGCTGATTAATATTTTTTATTCAAGTTTAGATGAATTTATTAACACCCAAAGGTCATGTATGATGGATAGAATGATGAATAAAATGATAATTATTTTATATCATATTTAATTTGTATTTAATGAAAGAAATAAGGTTGTAAGTAAGATTAATTATTTTTTTAATATAAAATAATTTAATTTTTTTAAAATGAAAAAAATTATTTTTAGTTTATAAAATTAATATTAATAATTTAAATTATATAAATTAAAAAATAATTTTGATTAATAAATAAAATTATTTTATCTTAATTTTAGAACTTATAAATGATACTATTTAATATAGTTTTATTTATAATATTATCTTATTTTATTTTATCATAATTTTATTAATGATACACATAAAAAACACCCAGAGGAAATACATCTGGCGTCTTGAGCGTTCTTTGCAAGAGAAAAGTGACTAAATGACATCGGGCGGTGACGGAAGTGTAAAAGCACTGTACTCAATTTGCAAGAATTGTGAATGAAACTATGAATACAGAACAGCTTGAGATCTTTGTCCACGGGACCAGGCAGGAAACAACATAAAGTTCTTTCATTCTTCAAAACTAACTGCCCTTGCATGAGCACTCTCCCTTTCCAAAGGAATGCAAACGGTTACCCTCTCTTACAATTATTTCCTTACCGACCAGACGAGTCACAAATTTTATAAAGTCATGGCAGTCTCTGCAAATACTACTGTTCTTAATTATATGTATCGGAGTCTTGGAAGGGGTATTTAGAAGACCAAATGCAACTGCTAACTTCTCACTGTGATAATTGGAATCCCCAGTTCTCATGCCTTGATATAGATATCCATGATTCTTAAACTCAGCCTCAAACGATTCTATTTTCTCATAAATTTCATTTATCTGTGGATGTGATCTTTCTCCTGCAACAAAGAGATGAACTTTGTTCCTGATTCCCACCCAGCTATGGCTAGGATTTTTCCTCAATCGTTTTTCTCTCATCACATTGCGAGTCTTCTCACCTAAGTCATGTCGACCAGAGTCCTCGTACAAGTTTGCTAGCAGTATATAGAATGCTGGATCAGATGGGTCAAGTTCAAGGCCTCGTCTTGCCATATCTTCAGCCAGAGGTATATTACTATGTGCTTTGCAGGCTCGCAGTAATGTCTTGTAGATCACAGCATTTGCTTTAAAGGGCATAGTTTGTATAACTTCCATAGCCTCCTCTAGGCGCCCACCTTGACCCAGCATATCGACTAAGTGAACATAGTGGTCCAGCTGTGGCACTACATCATATATTTCTGACATGGACTGAAAATACTCAAGACCAAGGTCAACTAATTTACCATTATTGCAAGCAGAGAGCACTAATACGAATGTAACAACATCGGGTCTAACTCCCGCTAACCTCATATCGTCAAAAGCAGAGAGAGCAGAAGAAATGAACCCATTGGATTGCAATCCAGAAATCAACCCATTCCATGAAAAAATATCTGGCACTGTAATCTCCCCAAAAGCTCTTTGTGCATCACGTATGCATCCACATTTGCCATACAAGTCAACCAGGCCATTTGATGCTGAAATCCACCTGCCCAAACCAGATTTTACAGAATGACAGTGAAGTTGCTTTCCGGTCACCACCATGCCCAAGTTGGCTGCCGCAGATAAGAAGCTGGCCATACTGAATTTATCAAGCTTGATATCATCGTTATACATATTAGTGATAATGTGCAATACCAACTCATGATGACCCATTTGATTCATTCTTGAGGCTAAACTAGTATATGTGATTGCATCTCTATGATTCATCATATGAACTATTTGCCATGCATCATCTAGCATCCCCACTCCAGCATAAAAATCTATAAGAGCATTCTGAACGACTATGTCTTTATATAAATTTGTCTTTATAACAAGTCCATGTAGCATTAGTGTCTGAGGAAGCGATTTTGCTGCATTTAAGGAGCCAATAATGCTAGAGATGGTAAAAGAATTTGGTTTCACTCCTGTGGCTCGCATCTCCATAAATAAGTGAATAGAATCTCGGTGAAAACCATGTTCAGCAAAACCTGCAATCAAAGAGGTCCAAGAAATGACATTTGGTAAGCTGATTCCTCCAAATACTCCCAAGGCATCTTCTATTTTATCGGAGCATTTCGCATACATGTTGACAAGCGCATTTCCAACAGAAACATCATCGTCCAAACCAGCCACTACCACCCTGGAGTGAATCTGTTGTCCAAGTTCTAGAGACAACATTAATGAGGAAACGTTCAAGATGCTTGAAAATGTAAAATTATTCGGTAAGATTCCAGATATCCTCATCTTGCAAAATGCAGCTATAGCCTTTTGAAACATGAAGTTTTGTGCAAACCCAGAAATAACAGCAGTGCATAACAGAGTATCATATTCAGATGTCAGATTTGAGACCTTTATAGCATCTTCCATCCTTTGAAATCTTGAGTACATATCAACTAAGGCCGTTTTCAACATCACATTCAGCTTAGCTCCCCACAACAACATATGGGCATGAACCAACTTTCCGTAATTTAAACCAAGGACACTGCATGCAGCTAAAAGTTTCACAAAAGTAAATTCATTTGGAGGAACTCCAGCCTCAACCATATCGATATAGAGTAGCAAAGCCTGATTCCATCTCTGAGCTTGAACAAATGAAGAGATCATCATTGTCCAAGAAACAGTATCATGATTTCCCTTGTTAATAAACAACTTATAAGCTTCACCAGTAAAATCAAATTTGGAGTAAAAATCAATTAAACCACTAACCAAAATTGGGTTCTGATCAAACCCTTGCTTTATCATATAAGCTTGAATACAAGTTCCATACTCAAACTCTCCCAAAGCAGAACATGATCGTAGCACACTTGACAACGTAAACTCATTCGGGCATTGTCCATAAATTAGCATAGAATCGAAAAAAGAAAGGGCTACATCATGGTTTCCACTCTTGACATAAGCTGTTAGCATTCCAGTCCAAGACACGACGTCTTTATACGGCATTTCGTCGAAGAAGTGGCGTGCTTTGTCCACTTCAAAGCATTTGGCATAAAGAGACAAAAGGTTGTTGTTCAAATACAAATGGTCTTGAAGACCCAGTTTTATTATAGGACTGTGAACAGATATACCTTCTCTGAAAGAATTGGAGTTGCAAAATGAGAGGACCCTTGAACAGGTTTCTTCCAACCGAGTTACTTCGTTTCGGTTAACAATCCTGCTGGCCGTCCTGCAAAGCATTTATTTTTATCTCAATAACCTCCAGATCGGTTTGAGGCCAGGGTAATGTATATTCCTCTGTCGCAAAGCATAAGCATCAATAGGAATTGATGGAATAGGAGTAAATTTTTTTTTTGGGCTTTATATCATAAATTCCAAGTTCAGTTAAAATAATCTGCGGTGGTACCTTGACATTATAATAGACCAATCTAAAATTATAAAAACTTGACTCAGGTTTCAAGTTTGGGACAAAACAGAACAAAGATGTTGGCACTCGAGGGCGTTCGAAATTTTGTTATAATAGAATTAATTAATCAAATTGATTTAATTCGATTAATTAATCTATTATCCAATTAATTTTGATTATCAAAAATAATTTTGAAGAAATTTTAATTTTTAGTTAATTCAATTTAAAAATTAAATTAATCAAATTTTAAATTAAAATATAATAAATTTTATATATAAAATTATCAATTTCATTTTAAGTTATTAAAATTTTTAATTTAATATTTTGGTGTTGGAATATTTTTATTGAATGATTTTATTTAATTTATTTTACAAATAAAAAATTAAGAATTTATAATATAATATAATATATTTTATTATTCAATTAATCAAAAAATTAATCTAACTAAGCGAACAAACATTTTTAAAAACTCTACATTAATCTTTTTAAGCGGACACCTAAAACCAAAAATCACACAACTATTGTAGTTGCAAATATTTCTTTCAAGGGTAATCAAGTGTTAATTTTTAGAAACCATAGTGATAAGATTTAAGGGCGCACGTTAAAGAAATGCTCTCGACTCACGTTAGTAGATTTCTTCTAAGTTAAAAATTTTCTCACCCAATTAATGCACTTTCTTGCGTAACCATCAATTTTCTTGGCCAAATTGTTGCAAATCTTTTGTCAATCTGTTCATTTTCTCTCGTTGTTCTGTTGTTGATGAGAGATTCAAATATTGCTGGTGATTGATGGCCACTAAACAATTTGCAAATTGAAACTACCTTGGACCTGGAAGGATTGATGGTTAATGATTGAGATTATACAGTAGTAAATCACAAATTTGAGCAAAGGAATGTTATGGATTGGCAGAGTCTGTTCTTAGCTTCTACTGATCAGACTTTGCAATTTTTTCCTCCTTGGTGGATGGGAAAGTGCTGGTCAAACCAACTGATTATGCGTTTGAAGAAATGGATCACCAATGGCGAAACTCACTGGTGGCATAGTTCATTGGTAAGGTTCCTAACTTCAGTCATTTTGAGAGACTCGTAAGCATGTTATGGGGAAAAGAAGGGCTGGTTCACATCAAGCCAGCAGGGAGTAACTTATTCATTCAGCAATTTTCCTCTAAGCAAGAAAGGGATAGAGTAGTGAGTCAGGGCCATGGCATATTCAAAGTGAGCCTATAATCGTTCGAAAATGGGAGCCAGGGATGAAAATCTTAAAAAGTATAAGATGAATAGATTGCCTGTATGGATACACCTCAGTAACATGCCATTGGATCTTTACACAAAGAAAGCGTTGAGCTACATAGTTAGCGCTTGGTACTCCATTATATATGGATAGAATAACAACCAAATTTGAGAAGTTGGCTTATGCAAAAATATGTGTGCAAATGACGGCCACGGTGGATATTCCTAGGTTTATTGATGTTATGCTTCGAGATGGTTCAGTTGCTTCTATTGTAATGGAAGTTTCGTGGTAGCCTCCAAGGTGTCAACATTGTTGCATTTTTTGGCATAATGATAAAACCTGTTTGAATAGGCCAGTGGTTGCAGAGACTAAGGTGTTGCAACCAAAGAGGCAAGGGAGAAATTCAGGTGATGTAATGGACAAAGAGGAAAAGAAGGTGGAACATGTGACTATTCCAGAAAAGGATATGATCCAAGTGTAGGTGGAGCTGGGTATAAAGCTAAAAGAGCAGACACAAGTTACAAAGTCAGGCTTTGCAAATAAATTTACCATATTGGACATTATTGAGGAAGAGGACAGAGGAACTAAGGTGATGCATAATACGGTTGAGGCAAGTATGCTGGACCAAAAGGAAGATTCATCTACCTTCAGTTCACCAAGAAAAATGAGGGCTGTTACAGCTGGAGTGCCTAATCTGATGAAGCAACTGAAAAATAAAAAGAAAGGTTCTATAGAAAAAAGGAAAAATAAGCATGTAAAGGTGGACAGTTCAACCTTTGGAGGTAATGTTTCCTTATTTTCTACATGAATAAACTTAGTTGGAATGTCTAGGGGCTAAATGCCTATCTGAAACAAAAAAAAGTTATGAGGACGATTAGAAGAATAAAAGCAGATGTTGCTTGTCTATTAGAAACTAAAATAAAACAACAAAACATGTAGTAAGTCTTTAATGACCACTCTGCTGGCTGGTCAATGTATCATAATTATGGTAATGCTTATAATGGTTGAACTTGGCTTCTATGGAAAGCTGAGCTAAATGTGGAGTTTGTTGATACTACCGATCAGAGCATTACATGTTACATCATGTATGGTGCCTAAAAGTTTTGCCTTATCTATAATTGCAATACTGAAGGTGAAAGAAAAAGATTATGGGAGCATCTGACAATAATTCAAAGCACAATTACAAGCTGCCTGTGGATCCTAGTTGGGGATTTTAATGTGATAGCCCACCCAAGTGAAAGCTCAGATTATGATGGATCATAGGGTTCTAGCTCTATCCCAAGAGAATTTCAAGCGTTGCTTCAGAAGATAGATGTTTTGGATCATCCATATGATGGACCACTTTACACTTGGAGTAATCATACACTTTCTAGGAAGCTGGACAGAATGTTGATTAATGGCTCATGGCTCATTCAAATGCTTGACTAACTGTAGAGTTCCTTTCCCCTGAGGTTTCTAATCATTGTTTAGCCTGGATACGGTTGAAAGTACCTAGAAAATTACCGCCAAAACTGTTCAAGTTCTTCAACTTTTGGACTAAGCACTCACAGTTTCTAAGTCTAGTGGATGAGTCCTGGGGAGCATATGTCAGAGGGAGTCTTATGGCTGTGTTGCATTGGAAGTTAAAAAGGTTGAAGTTGGTATTAAAGGGATTCAACTTTTCCCAATTTGGTGATATAGAGAGAACTGAGAAGAATAGGGAGGAGCTTGTGGCTATCCAAATTAAGGCTCTAAATCAACCTTAAAAGCTGAACTAGAGAAAAAGAGGAAGCTGTCACAAGAACTGCATGACCTGCTAGGAATTGAGGAGAGCCTATGGACGCCAAAGTCAAGACTTTAGTAGATTCAAAAGGGAGATCACAACACAGGTTTTTTTTCATAAAGTAGTGGTAACCAGGTAGAAAAGGAACGTTATAAGAGTGTTGTATGATAAGGATGGAAAAAGGCTGAAAAGTTTTGAACAAATCTCAGACGAGGCTGTGGGATTTTTCAAACAGTTGCCGGGGACAGTGGATGCCAATGTAGAGGAGTGCTTGAGGGAGTTATTGGCTACCATAATTCGAGTCTCATTGACTGTTGAATAGAGGAATGTGCTATCACGATATGTAACCAGGGAAGAAATCAAGGAAGCCATTTTCTTGCACACAGTGAAAAGGCACCTGGCCCTAATGGTTACAGTGCTCATTTTTTCAAAGTAGCTTGGAGTATTATGGGGAATGATGTCTTTGAAGCTATATTATAATTCTTTCAAATAAATAACTTGCTTCCTGCCTTTAATGCCACAATCCTTGCTTTAGTGCCAAAGTGCCAATCTTTCAAATAAATAACTTGCTTCCTGCCTTTAATTCCACAATCCTTGCTTTAGTGCCAAAGTGCCAATCTCCAGTAAATACCTCAGACTATAGGCTAATATCTTGTTGCTTTGTAATTTACAAAAGCATTATAAGGATTTTGGCAGCAAGAATGCAATAGTTTCTGCCTACTCTCATTAGTAGCAGTTAGAATGCATTCATCAGAGAGAAAAGTATAACATATAACATACTTATGGTACAAAAACTGGAGAAGGGATACAGTAGGAGAATTTTCTCACCTAGGTGTGCTGTAAAATTTGATCTCAGAAAAGCATTTGACTCTATTAGATAGAATTTACTGACAAAGGTGTTTCAGGCAATAGGATTTCCAGAAAGGTATGTTGGGTAGATTACAAGCTACCACACCATTCTAATGTTTTCTTTGTCCATCAATGGTGGAGTAGTTGGGTGCTTTAAGGGTGCCAAGGCAGTTAGATAGAATGACCCTATGTCGCCCTACTTGGTTGTCATTGCCATGAATGTTCTCTCAAAGCCGTTGGATGCTACAATCTTACATGGAATACTTTCTTATCATCCAAAGTGTAAGCAAGTTCAGTTGACGCATCTATGTTTTGTTGATGACTTGCTTATATTCACAAAAGGAAAGTTAGATTCGATGGTGGGAATTCGAAATGTGTTGCGTTGTTTTATACAGTCTCTAGACTTCAACTAAATTGTACGAAGATTGAATTGTTTTGCACTGGCATCCCGAGGGCTGAGCTTGATGAAATTCTATAAGTCACAAGCTTCAAGATAGGCACGTTACCTATCAGGTGTCTTGGTGTTTCATTAGTAAATCATATGCTTACTATGAAGGACTGTAGGCCATTAATAGAAAAAATCTCAACCAAAATAGGCAGCTAGGCAGTGAAACATCTTTCTTACGCTGGCAGGCTTCAACTGATCCAGTTTGTTATACATAGTATGTACAACTACTGGTGTAGGCAGTTCGTTCTTTCCAAGAAGGTCATAAAGCATATCAGTCAGCTTTGCACCAGATACTTTTGGAAAGGCTAGGTAAGTCCTGCTACTGGAGCATAAGTTAGCTAGCAGGCAGTATACAAGCCTAAATCTTATGGTGTACTAAGGTTTAGAGACATTGGAAGTTGGAGCCAAGCATGTATTCTGAAGTTGTTGTAGTCCATCTTTACCCAACCAAGCTCCTTGTAAATTGCATGGCTGCAGAGATATGTATTGAAGGAAATAAGCATCTGAGAGATTCAGATCACTCGAAGCTTAAGTTAGAGCATGAAGAACGTGTTGCTGATGAGGGTATTGTCACTAAGTTCCTAGTACAGACTAATAATGGACTGGTTGGGCGTTAAAAAGGAATTGGGTATTCTACTGCTGCTGTTTGGGAAGAAATACAGGCAAGGGAAGAGAAAGTGAGATGGCTCAAGCTGGATGGCAACCCTCAACTGGTTCCCAACAAAAAATAGACTAATTGCATGGGGTATCTCTACAGGTGGGGCTTGTTTGCTATGCAAGCAGGAAATGGAGAGTTGGGATCACATGTTTTTT